CGGTCCAACAACTGCCACCAAGGGCTTGGACAAAACGATGACGATTCTTGAAGCGATGGTCTGATAGATGCCGGCTTGCTAGCATAGGTTCGAATCCCGCGAACGGGCTGGCTGCATCGACGTTTCGCGGTTTTCCCCATGTGTAACGTGTATACGAGTCAGTTTCCCTTAGAAAGTCCTCCACGAAGGCGTCCCTCCTCTTAGGCAGATAGCCCTCGAGGCTTTGCCATAATCACACACACACACATTATACCACACTAGTTTTTATGACGTTATTTATACTATATAAGTTGTTATTGTTGCCAGTTGTTAGTTCAGCTTGAGATTGGAGATATTTCTGAGTTAACTTTCTCTTAAGATGCGTTTTTATTCCGTTGTGTTTAACGTTCTTATTAGATTGAAGCATAACTACTGATTATTATATTCTAAACACTTGTACGAGTATTTCTGTGGAAATTTCCAGAACTTTGAAGTGTTTCTGTTGATAAAATAAATTTAATTAATCTATCATCGGATTTGCATTGACAATCATTTACGAGCTATTATCAATCTATTACCAACCCGTACGCACGTAACAATAGTATAATTAATTAATGTATTAAAATTGTTTTGAATGTGTTTAAAAAACAGAAACAGGTAAAGAAAAATTCTGCTTGCGTTTTATGATTTTTTGCAATTTTTCTGGCCACAAAAGGGTTTAAAAAAAGGTTTGTAATTTATGTTTATATTTACCAATTGAATAAATAGCACTATATTTTATTTATATATATATGTGTGTGTGTGTGTGTGTGTATTGAAATTCAGTAATAAAATTTTAAGATTTGAAATGATTAAATGTCTATTTAGACAGTTTGTATTCTTTAAACTGCAAATGCAAACTGAGAAATATTTTGCATTTTTTTTCGATAAATCCTTTTACAAGTCCTAAAACATATACAGGTATGGACTAAATTATTTATTATTTTACTACTTATTTGAAATTATATACTATATAGAAATAAGGATGGGTTTTGAAAAATACTGAACTGAAAAGAAAAATTATTTGAAATGAAAATGTGACTGAGATCATATTTTGTTTAAAGATTTTAGATAAAAGTGTATTTTTATTTTTTCTCAGAAAACTAATTCATTAATTGCAAAATCAATCCTTGAAGTATTAAGAAACACTCTAATAAATGCATTAAAAACTGGGGGGAGACATTGAAAATTGTAGGAGAAGAAAAACATTTTAATTGTAAAGTTTTTCTTCAAAAAATTTAAATTTAAAAAAAATTATTAACTTTTTTTTTCAGCTTAAAATTATTTTGTCTCACAAAACCATTTAATAAAATATTCATACAAAGTAGATGAAAATGCTTAATTTTTTTTTTTTTTAAATCATTCAAAAGGTACCGAGTCTCTTGTCGCGTTGAAGCCGATATGCACTTGTCTTAATTTTAGTTTTAATTTGACCGATATTTCTGGAACACCTAGCATCAGATAACCTTGTCTGTAATTTCCGTATTTTGAACAGTTCTATTTAATTTTGTAGGAGTTAGAGTATTCATATCCCCAGACATCTATCAGCGCGATTGTTTCGCTGATGGTCCAGCGAGCAGTAACTAAAATTAAGTGAACCGCGCAATATAATACGGGAAATCTCCCCATTTACCCTGCTCCCAAGAGGTAAGGAACATTCAATCAAGTTCTACCTCCAATTCGGCGAGGGCAGTTAATGCTTGTTCCCATGTGAATGGGACACGTTGGAAGAACCAGTTTTCGCTACCGGTCGAATCTGCTGTTGTGAACGGGGCTAAAGTGTATATTCATTAACTAGTAAACACTACCTAAGTTTGCTAGCAGTTTAGTCACTTTCTGTGATGATTCTTCACATTTTTCAATCAGTTTTAATCGTAAAGAGGAAAATTATAACGGGTTTATATTTGCAACTACCTTTTACCTACTATTCCGGCACTGTCTGTTCCACAGAATTTGATATTGTCACTTAATATCGTTTTCTTAATGCTTGAACAGTTCAAATAAGTGAAAGAACTATTTCCGTGCTCCTGAAGGCAGAATAACATTCCTCGGAGGCAAACACAGTTATTATGTAAATATTAACGATTAATGCGTACTATAAAACAAGATAAAACTCAAAGTAAAGTCTGACACAGAATTTCGTTACCTACTACCCGTAATAACACAAATGAATATTAGTATTAGTAGCAAATTAAGAAATGCGATTTCTTGTTGTCTAGCAGTTACAAAGCCTGGCTGCTAAGTTACAGTTATTGGCAGGATTAACATTTCTAAAACTTATTCAGAATTATAACTATGTTGGATCGGACATGAAAATCAACTAGCTTTCTCACACTTGCGGAACTCAGCTTCTGATTATATTTCATCCACATTTTTCCGCTTCCCATACAATTGTAAAGTATCTTATATTAATTATCTAGTTATTATAATTTAGTCATTACTATTCTCTTTTCTGCATTCCTCACCAGAACGCAAATTAAGATTTAATCTGAGTGTCTTGATTCCTTAGATCGGGGTTTCTTAAACTGTTGCCAAAAATTTTAGCAGTTTTGATAATTCTTTAACTTATTATAATAATTTTACAATTACCAAATGTTTTTTCACAATGTGCCTGAAAATATATAAAGATAAGATAGTACAGGTCAAGAAAAAAACGAAAACGTTTCGACGCATTCTATTTATAATATAAGCATTCATTTTCCTTGCTTTGCACGTGACGCTGTCATTTCGTCTGTTACTTATTTAAAATTTTCACGTTGTTCTGTGTCTGCAATAGTGGTATATTACAGTACAAGTGAAAAATCTGGCAGTTTCATTCTCGCGTGTGTCGGATTTGCGCAATACTTATGGGGTCCCAGAAAATTTTTGGAAATATTTTGGGGTCCTGGGGGTCACGAAAAAATATCAGTGATAAAAGGGGGTCGTGACTGAAAAAAGTTTAAGAAACCCTGCTTTAGATAAAAACTTCTGGCAATCGCGCCTTGTTGTTAGTACTTTGCACCAGCTCTGCTTAAATACTGTATTCTGACTTTAGTATTTTAGCTAGCCGATATTTTAATTAGGCGCCACTAAAATATTTCTGAGCCAGCTTATTTCTTATCTAGTTAATGTATAGTCTTAGATTACGTTATGAACTGTTGAATTTAATTGTCGGTTTTATTAATTTAAATGCCCACATGTGGCAGACGTTTCATCTGTAAAACAATTTTTGCCTGTTCTGTTATATTAAGATAAAATGTAAAGAGATTATTTTAACCTTCTGTATTTTATGAGTTGAAGACGTAACGATAACTCGTTATTTGTCTTGTAGGGTCTGCAGGACTTTAGCTTCCAGTTACAATAGAAACCCCACGTAACTATTAGTAATACTTAAATAGCAAATGTCACAAAGAGGTGTTGAAAGCGGAGATTAGTAGTAAATCTGAATTGAACAAAGAGAAGATATTTCAAAAAAATAAATAATATCTATACTGAAACGTAAGATGATGTTTAAACTGTATAAGGATAACTTTCAGCCAGAAGCATTGCGTTCCTATTTCTCTTATGCTAGGTAAGCACATAAGCATTATGAACAAGAAATGGCATTATTTTAGATTCGTGATGATTTTATTAAATTCCTAAGGATATAGAGATATACGAAAGACAATTATCGTTTTGAGATAGTTTGTTACTTTGAAATTTAATTTGCACTCAAATATACTTCTGAATAAAGAGACATGTGAAAATCGCATTATTATTATCTAAAACAGGAATATATTTTTCATTCGATTTTAGTTACTTTTTAATCTCTTGTAAAGGCCAATGTTATAGACTTACCGTAGGCTGATACTGTAATCACTGGTGAATATTAATGTTCCAATGAAAGGCTGAGTGAAATTAGTAATACTGACATGTTTCATAACTTTCATAATGCGCCCATAAAGTTTTAGGACTAACTTTTTAAGAAACTTATTAAAATTAGTCAAACACCTACTGACAGCATTTATTACAACGACATCTCAATTTGCTTTTAATGAAATATCTTCTTAATGGAGCATATCTTTCTATGCAATTTATTCTTAGTTTTGATCCACTGAATATCTGCAGTATGAATTCGAAAGCTGAGCAAAAAATAGCAGCAATGTTTTGTTGCAAAACGGGAATTTATTCTGATTAATTAATAAATTGTGACTGAAGATGAAACTTGGGTTTGTTATGAGGCAAAACGGCAATCATCTGCTTGAGATGGAAAACGTTTGCCGCGATCACAAAAAAGTTTCAAACACCTCGTGTAAATACCATACTGACGACTTTTGTATTAGAAATTAATAATTTACAAGGAACTAGTTCCCTGGAAACAGATGATGAATTCTGTGTTTTATGAAACCGTAATGCGCAGAATTCTGAAGAGAATTCAGCCCAGTCAGTCAGTAAAAACGCAATCGAATACCAAGTTTCTACTCCATGACAACGCTTTTCACACTATTTCATTCTCCTCAAACAATCTTTAACAAAGAAAAGAGTTTCAATTATGAACCATCTCTCTTATTCATCAGATTTAGGGCAGACTACTTTCTCTTGCTTAAAATGAAATCTCATCTCAAAGAACATTATTTAATAACATTGAAGCTATTCAGAAACTCTTAGCCAGAGATTAAACACTCTTCGAAAAGATGAGTTCTGCGAATATATCAAACAGTTGTGAATATATCACGCTTTGTACAAAACTTACAATGTTTATGTTTTGATAGCTAGGAGTTAGAGTATTGTTTTCTTCAACACTCGATTCAATGCGAACTTAATCCTGAAATTTCCAGACGCTCTGCGTATACTAATAGGCGTTCTAATACAGGTACATTACAAGTTCTAGTATAGAAGTGCTCATGACACCGAAAGTTCACCACTGATCGTACGTTCTAAAGCAATAGTAGCTAGACATATAAAATTATTGAATGCTGTAATCAGTAAGAATCAATTCTGACTAATTATTGTTTTTCTTTCAGAGCAGTGCGCTCTGACCTCTCTGTTGCTAAGCGAATGGCTATGCTAGTGTTCACTGATTTCGCATGCTGGGCTCCCATAGCATTTTTCGGATTGACAGCAGTCTTTGGGATGCCACTAATCGACGTCACCAAGTCGAAGATTCTTCTTGTTTTCTTCTATCCTCTCAATTCGTGCGCCAATCCATTCCTTTACGCCATCCTCACCAAGCAGTATCGGAGGGATGTCCTTGCTCTACTTGCCAGATGGGGATTGTGCCGTCATAGGAGTTCCTGCGTTCACGGGCGAACGTTATCTACCAACACTCATCACCAACAAAGAAGAGTCTCTTCTGTCAAAGCTCTGTATAGAAATTCGTTAGTACTCAAGGGCAATCAAAGACAGCAAGTAAGTACTCATTACTATATTTGAATTCTCAGATAAATGAAAAGTTTCTTTTTATGTTGTTTCTTACTTCTCTAATTTAAGAGGGTCTCGATGAAGTCCATGAAATTATCATAGCTAAGAAATAGTAAGCCCTTGAGGTTGACCGGGTCATGAGACCTTATAAGTGAAAACTCGTTTACCTAGCTCCTTCTCTCTCCAGCAAGAAACAAATCTGAGGATCTATTGTCACTCTTTCCTTACCATCAACCTTTTTATTGAACTTTCGGCTGCACAATATCTTAAATTTCCGTGCTACAAAGACAGTATACACTTACAAACATATATGTCTTCTCTGAAATTTCTAAGATGAGTCTTCTATTACGCGGTTTGATTAATCCACAGAATGGACGACTTAAGATCGTCGTATCTATTACCAGTTTCAGAATCTTAAGCATTTCTTATGGTGTGGGATTTTTCTCTATGTTTTATTGCTTTAGACATATTAGTGCAACTCCAAAAACTAAGTAAACAGTCACATTTCAAGTTGCCCACCAGTAACCGAACCGTGAAATCTCTGAGCAACGGTAGTTCGATGTATTCGATTCCAGGCGAAGGGGCTGGCACTATGGGCGAGTTCGTAATTTTTCCTGTGTGTAACGTGGATACAGTTTCTCTTAGAAATTCTCCCACGAAAGCATAGATTAGGTAGATAACCTTACCATCCTTTCCATAATCAAATAAACCAAACCAAACCATACAATTCGCAAAAACTCCTTGAAAATTTTCTCATGTTTGTCAAAATGTCATCATTCAAACATTTTTACATATTGAATATAAAAAGACGCACTTACCAATATTTGAAACTGAAGCGACCGCAGGAAGTGCTATGAAGAAACAAAATCAACTATAAAAATAACATTCTGAAGTAAATTTTTTTAATAAACTGCGAAAAGATAAACTGTATTAAAAAAAAATTATTTTCATTATTTTATTCTTAACTTTAGCGGGAAGCAAACCATTCGTATTGAAATATCACTACAATTTCTTTATTCTTAAAGCTACTGTATGTGTTAGCTGTATAGTAAATGAGATGCCAGAAGAATAAATGTGAAAACTCTTTTTTATTATTGTTGCTGTCGGTTCTCAAAGTGTTCTGTTCGCAAAACATGTAAGAAAAATCTCTCTTTGGTTCCGGTTTTTCAGCACCTGGACCCTCATTATTATGTAGGTGCAATTTATCAGCAACCCGTATGCATAACAGTTGATTTGAAATGCTGGGAAGGGGGAAATTGGGAAGAAAATAGTGGGATACTGAAATAATAGTGCATAAATAATTGTATATAAATATGTATATAACTAATTACTTATTAACAATTTTAAACAAATATACTTAATGTACTACAAAACAAAAAGTCTCAAAATGTTTAACGATCCATCAAAAGCCATTATGCGACCCATAAACTGCCTTAATATATGAGGAAAGGGTTAGAAGTAATGCCTTAGCGTGTAAACTGGACAACTTTTCACAAACGAAGATTTTTTTTAATTTTCAGTTTTTTGGATTAGCATTGGTTCACATTACCACTGATAATCAGGATTCTGCTTTTTTTCTCTCTTAATGCTGCATTTCTCCTTCAAGAAAACATTGCAGCTTTTCTACTATAGTACATTACTGTTTCAGTTTTTTAAAATTAATAATAATCTTAATGTTAGAAACGTTAATAACAATTGTCTTCTACCAAGTATTTCATTAATTTCATACTTTTATTTTTATATTTGCAATAAATGTGTAGATTTGTTAGGTTTTTGGAAGCAGGAGATGTGAAAAATGTGCAATGCCTTTGCCGGGACTCGAACCCTGGATCTCCCAAATACACACTGAGAGTGCTATCGTTACACCACGAAGGCAAGCTAGAAGGAGGGAGACAATACCTTATAAATGTAACACTCAATTTGAAACTAAAGCTGAGAAACTTTGCTAATTGTTAATTCGTAAGCATTTCTGAGAATGGATAACACTTTTGCTCATAAATTTTCATTAAAAGAATATTTAAGATTTTCTTGCAAACCATTTTTAACATCCAAGTTGTTAACTCTAATTACGACTGTTTCCTTAACCTTTGAATCAGAAGAGGACAACTGCATCTGAGATTTCAGATCCCTAAGGAAAACAAACGTCTGCTTTAGCTGTGAAAAGAAGGTTTCATGTAGACGGAGTGTTTGTAAGAAGACCTATTGTACGTATTCCACTGAGTAGTTTTTGCAGGCACATTGGCTATACTTTAAACAAAAGAAAATCTTATATGAATTATGCAATGATGCAGCTTGATAATTTTCACATGTAAATCTGTGAATTTAGATCTCTCTGTATTTTGACTCAATAATGTAGAGAGTGGAATGGAATATTGTGCGGCCAGTCCAGTATTCCAGTAAACGCTTTCAGTAACATCAGGGTTTTGGTTTGGGTAAGAATCATTTAACGCACCACACTGACTTCCACCTAATATTTGTTGGCGGACTTGGATTGCTTTAAAGCATCAAACTAAGGTTCTTGATTAATACGTTAGAGAAGCTGTTGCTGTCGTGGGTCATTCATTTGTTTGGAATGGCTGTGCGATAATACTTGATTGCATTCAATAACTATAATGAAATGTTTCATTGAAGATCCCGAACTTTAGTTTAAAATTAACTCGTTAAATCATCAGATTATAATCCAGTTGATGATTTATGACACATTACATTCGTTCAGTATGGGCGCGCATACAAATATGTGCTCTGTATTTTACTGATGGATTTCAGAATTGTCTATGTTCCGTGTCTATCTGTGGTACTTGGACTTGTAGTTAGCAAAGTTTTTATACTTGTTTCAAATGCATCATTGGTTTTAAACGCTGTCAATAGTAAAATACACCATAAATCTGAGTCATTCTATATAAAGTCAAATTTTGCATCGACTTTCTGAGGAAAGTCATGGCCAGAGGGAAATTATTAAATATAATGATTTTAATTTTCAAAAATAAGGATATTTACTTCAAATATCCAAGTTTTAATCTTAAATGAAATTTTTGAGATGTCGTTCTTTCGCTTTAATTTTAACTTAAAATGTGATAACTCAAAACTTTTTTTTTATTAATTTCTGTAGAATTCGGTAGAAATGTCTTCTGTGCTACTTTAGAGCATCTGAGCTAATATTTTGTGAAAAGTCAACTGTCAAATTATTTTTGCCCATTTCAGTTTCAAAAATATGAAACTTTATTTAAAAACACCGTTGGTAATTATTTCAATTGATTGTACCTCAATATTATCAAAGCATCAAATATACTATTTTCTCACCATATATATACTAAATTCTCAATAAGAACCCTACAGAAGGATCGATAAAAATTGCATTAAGATCACTAATTTAAAACCGATTTTTTTTTAATTTTGGTGTTACTGCTTTTCAATTCAGAAACTAGAATTATTTAAAAATTTCCACTTGACAGTTTTTTTTTAGTTTGTAAAGTTTATTTAATCAAAGCTTTTTCAAATTCTAATTTGAAGAGAAACATAACTTCTCAAAATACATAAAAGATCTACTCATTTAAAATATTGTTTAAAAAACCTTTCAAACGTAACCGGATACCTAAACTTTATTTTTATTTTGTTATTCTTAATTTCAGTTATGTTTACAGGTAACAGGTAACAAAAGACAGAAATATCAGTGTTTTTTAGTCATATTTGACAGTTAGTCATGTGTAGTCCCATGCTTCTCGCTGTGCTAAAATCTGCTTCACACTGTGGTTTGACAAGGAATGCAAAGGAGTAATAGTGGGAGTGATGTTAAAAAAACTGTAAATAATTAGGGGTTGCAATGTGCGACTACGATAAAGGATAAATTAAGTCACATCACACAGATTCAGCCTGTGTTCTGTCAGGGTATCCTGGATAGCCTTGATTTTTGTGATGAGTGACTTTCTCTTGATGATATAGCGTTGGTACGGTATTCTGTCATCTGTATTGTCCGAAAATCTGAGCTGATGCCTGGATGTCAGCGAGCAACGAACATCAAAAACTATGCAGGAGTTCCGTACTACCACAGTTGCATTGGTCGATACTGCTTAGACATCGTTTATGAAAATAGACTGGAAATGGGGCATCACCTGTCATATAGTGTGTTAGCTGAGAAGTGGAAATGCATCTTTTATTGCTGATTTTGGAAAAGAATAAATAATCTTGACGGCCTTATGGTGCATCCTCCCATTCGTCTTGGCACTTTGCTTTAGCTAAATTAGTGACTACTCTTTTGAAGTGAGAATATGGTAGGGGCAGATTTTGCAAATTTGCTCCGATGTTGCGAACCGTCTCCTTTTCCAGTGAATCTACTTTCTCATTTCCTTGTTTTTCGACACTTGTCTTCATCCACTGAAGGTGGAAATAAAGATGTCTGAAGGGTCTTAAATCCCTTTGAATATTACTGATGATATGAGAACTGTGGACAGTGTTTAGAATGGCATGTAGCACTGAGAAGCTATCGCTGTAGAAACTGGCTTTATAGTGTCTGTTGTTTACTGCATGGGTTACTACTGCCATCACCAGTGAGTGAGCTTATACCTGGAAGATGCTATTCTTGGGTGAAAGTACTACTTTAGATGTGTCGAATTCTTGTTGATTAGTGTACTGAACAAAGGCACAGCCAATCCCATTATTTTGGCCTGAACCGTTAATGTAGTATCGAAACTTTATATTGTAAATGGTAAACTGTTATTGCATATGTCTACTTCTATCACAAACTCCTTTGACAGTTGGATGGATGTGCAAATTATGTTTGAAGAAGACTTTGTCATTTTTTCATCAATCATATAGTGGTTAAGAAGTGAAACCGCTGAAAACTTGTTGTTCGACCGGGGTTCCAATCTTAGCAAATGAGCTGACTGCAAGAGAGTTTGTGGGGGGTTTCCTCAAGTTTAACGTGTAATATCAGTCAGTTTCCTTTTAAAAATCCTCACAAGGAGATCTGTTTCAGCAGATAACCTTCACATGCTTTATCCGCGATCTAAATAATCCAGTTCATTAATCATGTGAGTTTTTGTAAAGTGTCAAACTCTGCAAAATACAATAAATAATTGCATTATTTATACTTGTGCTAGCTTTTATGTTTAGATCTTCTTTCTATTAACAGTCATGATTTCAAATCTATTTGTTTTTTTAGCATATATTTAGCTTAAAATACAATGAATAATTGAATTATTTATACTTGTGCTAACTTTTATGTTTATATCTTCTTTCTGTTAACAGTCATAATTTCAAATCTATTTGTTTTTTAGCATACATTTAGCTTAAAATACAATGAATAATTGTATTATTTATACTTGTGCTAACTTTTATGTGTTATATCTTCTTTCTGTTAACAGTCATGATTTCAAATCTTTTTGATCTTTTAACATATATTTAGCTTAAAATATTGTATCTTTTATAGTAAAATATCTTTTAATTCAAAATCGTGGTTTTTTTTTTTTTTCATATTATTCCTTTTTGTATTTCGTGTATACGAGCCAGTTTCCCTTAGAAAGTCCTCCACGAAAGGCATCCCTCCTCTTAGGCAGATAGCCCTAGTGTGCTTTGCCATAATTAAATACACCAACCAACACCAACACCTTTTTGTATTTAAGTAGGGTCTAGTAACAGAACTCATTCGTTCTTCTGTTTCCCTCACACCTTAATTATTGATTTTTGATTAGAACTGATCTATGTAGTGCAATGTAAATATTGCTGCAGGTATTGAAATATAAATGCACTGAAAATAATTTAGACATTTCGAGATATCTAATGTCATAGCTTTCCCGGCTTAGATTATCTCTTTTTAAAGACTATTTGCATTTTTCAACAGTTATTGCTTTTCTATTCTCATATATTGCACTCTTTTATTTATAGTTTATTTCACATTTATTGCTTGCTCCATTTCATTGCTTCATATGTTCCTTCCCCCCAAATCTCTCTTGCAAGGTTTTTCCTACTAACAGGAGAGGCGTTTCCGACTGACAGGAGAGCTCCAGTTTTAACGATACCTGCGCTCCGGTTTGATAAATTTGTTTGTGTCTACAGACATCACCCAACGTTTCGCCCCCCCCCACACACACACACACAAAGTTTAACAGGATAGGACATTTTGAACACACGTAAAACTACTTTCTTCTGCTATTGGAAACTTTGAACCTTATCTGATCCTTTTTTGCAAGAAGTTCAACTTTTTGCTTCTCCAAGAGAAGCCTTGAAATCAACTTTCTTTTGTACGGAACGCAGTTTGCAAAAAGATGGCCGTCTTTAGAATTCAGTATGTTTACGATTTGTTCAGTTTTCTTGTTTGTAATAGATTTTCGGTTTTTAGCTGATTAAAGCTCGGATTAGAGTTTTATATTATTTATAGAAATCTCTTAATCGGGAACCACTCAATTTTTTTAATGTTTTTTAAATGACAATTTAATATAAAAGTGTATTATTTTGCTCAATAATTTGTAATCGCTTTTGAATGTCAGACTTACATTTAATATATATTTGACAAATTTTATTTTTTGAATAGTCAATTTTGCATAATCTGATGTTTTATTCATTTATCTCTCTTTTTTCCAAGCGTTTCGAAGGCGTGTAGGGGAAATTCTGGATACATCTCAGATTTGTTCTTTCGGTTTTAATTGAACTGTAACATTTTCGGTGAAAATTTAATTGTTCTTTTTTCGTCTCTTTATCTCAAATGTTTCATAAAAACGAAACAAGCATTCGAAACATATTAATCGACTTTCAAGGAACTTTACTTCATTTTCCTCTGATGAGTTCTGAACTCGAGTTTCAGTAAAAGAAGATTAATATTTTTATATTATATTTTTATTGTTCTTATAACTTTTATTAATTTTTCCTTTTCGCTTTTTTATTTTTCGAGTTTATTCTATTGACGAATTCTTATATTATTTTTTTATGGATACAATGTGTGACCCCTTATCCACGGTTGCAATTATTATTTTTGGCGAATTGCCTTGTTTTGTTTCCAGTTTAATTTTACATTTGATGCTTTAAGTTTAATTTACTTCAATCCTGCAGCTATCTCCCAGGATTGAATAAAACATTTTTTAATTCTTGTTTTAAAATTTGTGCTTTTAATTTTTAGCATATTACTATGCTTCTCCTTATATATGTATACATATATCCATTGATTTTTGCTTTTAATACGCCTGTGATTATACTATATACAGATAGAATTTAACAAGCGTTCTTTATTCGTAAAAAGCAAATTTTAAGTTAATTAAAAATTAAATTTAAAATATGAAATTTTAATTGCAAACAAATAAATAATTAATTACCGCTGCGAACTAATCTGCAATATCATTTAAATTCTGAGAGCTTATGTAAATAAGTGCAAGTATCAAAATCCATGAATAAACATATAATATTCCAAAAGCAATTTTTAATCCTAAAAGTTTAAAAACATTTTTTAAATGCATAAGTGAATATTTGTTGAGTAGGCAGGAGACCCACTTATCAAGGGTAAGTTGTAGCAAGTAAATGACTAGAATTAAAATCAAATGTTAATTAAGATTAGAAAAGCAATTTTTTTAGAAAATCAAAGTAATTTAGAAACTCTTGCCTGCAGAAAACTTCCTCGACAAGAATTATGCATGTAAATCAAAAATAAAAAGTAAACTATATACCATCTATAAAAAATACATAAATAATACTAAAATAATACTAAAAAACAAAGTAAATAGTAAGTTTTAATTTAACTTACCGAATTATATTTGTATTGGAGAGTGGATCAGCATTTGTCAAACAAAGTGATGTTAAGTAGTGCGTTTCTGCTAACTTTATAAACAGAGGGCGCTAATATAAGCTAAAGTTGAGTGTTAAGCTGCTACCTGTTAAATCTATTTTAAAAGACCTATTTTGTAAACTCTTAAGTAATGTAAAATGTGTGTTCTGTTTGCAAGAATGTTGCTAACTGTGAAATATTGTAAAAATCTGTAAAAAATTGAAAAAAATTGCTAACTTTTGTATTATGTGAAAGAAGTTGCTAACTATTAAGGATTGTAAAAAAAAAGTACAAAAAAATTTTTGAAGTAAAATTAATTTAATTTTAAGTTTGAAAAAAGTAAGAAAATTTTTGTAATTTATTAAAACTGAATTTCAACAGGTTTAATCAAAACTTTACTAAATACTGGCTAAAAGTAAGGAAAATTAGATAATGAAGGAAAGAATCCAGTATTGATTAAATATACATTTTTACAAATTAATTAATATTTACAAAATAATCCTTCAATATTTCAAATCCTTCGATTCCTTGAAGGATTATCTTGTAAATAAAATCTTAATTTATTAATTATGAATTTTGAGTATTTTTATATCATTAAATGTTGGACATAAAGCTTTATTTAATACTGCTTCCCCTTTCTGTTGTTCAATGCATATTTCTTCTCTGATTCTGTACTAATCGTGTATATTTCCCTAGGTAATGCTGTCTAATAGTGCTATGGTCCGTCAGTTTGCGGTGAATAATGACAGAGCTATGATAAATGATTTCTATCCCAATGATGTAAAATCTTCAGCTGAATATTCGGGAAGCATATCAAAAGAGAGTAAGTTACATATTGAGACCCAGAAAAGTTCATAAGTTGTCGACTGTGAGTTTTGATTAAAGTAACATTTATTACTACACTTTTAATCAATTTGCATTTTTATATTTCTTATAAATGCAACTGATAGCAATTTAAGAGTCTTGGATTCTTTCCCTTAAAATTTCAGCAATGATTTTGAATCTTGATTTATATAATATCGGGGTGATGAAATATTCATATAATATCGTGTATTCATATAATATCGTGGTGATGAAAAGTATTCATATAATATCGTGAGTATTCATATAATATCGTAAGTATTCATATAATATCGTGGTGATGAAAATGGCTTTAATGTGTGTGATATGAAGATGATATAAGTAGAATCGCATGCAAAATTCTGAGTAAGTTATAAAGTTTTAAAGTATCCTAATTCCTTTGTAGAGAGAATTTATTGAAATTTATTCTCTATTTAGCATTATACATTGTACACTTAAAAGCTTGAAATGGAACAAAAATAGTATACGTACTAAATTTTCTTAATTTTTTATATCGGAAGATGGATAAAAGAGAAAACAAATTCTTCCGCGAAACATAAACCCGGAATTTAGCTGATTGCTGGTAATAAATTAAAAATTAATTTAATTTTAATGATAACTCAAATTAAAATCAAGATATGTTATATTTCTTGAATTATATTAGATGCTTATAACAGCTTTAGAGAATGAACCGTTTTCTATCATATACTAAGTATTTTAAAAATTTTATAAACATTTAATTTGTCACAAATTGAAAAAAAAATTAATTTAGTGAATTTTGTTAGCTTGTATCATTATCAATGCAAAATGTAACGAATGTAAAATTATATAAATTGTACATTTCTTTTAACTTTTAAACATTTATCATGTAAAATTTTAAATTATTTTGAGCATATAAGTTTTGCATTATGGCAAAAAATGTACAAAATGTCGTTTTGAGAACAAACAAAAATCATATTTAAACACTCTCTCTTTTTGAATTTAATGCTAAACTTAAAATACTCTTGATTTATAACTTTCACCATTTTTATTTCCCGAAACTTAGTTTATTTTCCCTGATTGTTCTCTAAACTTTCTTATGCTTTTGGAGCAACAGGAATATCTTTATATTTAAAATCACTAAAGCGAATGCTACCTAAATTATTATGGCGATAAATATAAAAAAAAAATCCTACATCTTCTCTGTTTAACTGAGACAACATTTTCAAAGGTCCCTGAAATCCCTCATTATTCTGGTTAATTATATCACATACAGTTAACGGCAACCTCATTTTAGAACTGTCTTCTATGGCACATCATTAAAGCTGTCATTTGCATTTTGAATTTCTCTATAAGCATTTTTTTAATTTCTCCATAAACATTTCTTGGATATCTCCATTAGCATTTTTCTAATAATTTTTTTCACCCTGACTTTAAGTGCACTTTATCATAATATAGAGTACAATATCTGTTGAGCCTTAGCATTTTCCTGGAATTGCCATTTCACATTTAAATGCCTCTTTGACAGTAACAGTAGTTTTACATCATCATCACAACGCAATGGCGTTCAGAATTTCTGGTAAATTAATTGCCATAAAAGTGACACTTTTCTTTTCCTATCGAACCCGCCACACAAAAACAATTATCAAAGAAAAAAAAAAATATTAGGTTATTAATACTCTTTAATATAGAAACTAAAAAATGCAAACAAGATGAAAATCATACTTTTATTGCCAGGTATTTGAACTTAATGTATGTTTCCAGCTTAGAATCTTATTTTTAATTTTCTTTTGATCCGCATATTAAAAAAAGCTGAACATTTTTTTAAAAATATTAAAAAGTAGCATAACACTAAGGTTAACTATGAATTAAAATGAAAAGAGTTACAAATCAGGTTCTAAAGCATATAAAAATAAAATTTAAGCAGATTTGAAATAATATCAGAAAGAAAATGTAAAAGCGATGCTTTGACTAAAAATCGCATTTAATAATCAGATACCTTAAAGCAGAAGAAACTTAATTATTGTTTTCAAAATGATTTTACGATTAACAGTATAATCGAAGTCCTCAACAGTTTTTACTTCCTTGTACGAAATAAAAAGGAAGTATTGTAATTGCGAAACGTTTCAGGTAGCATATTTCAACGAAAATATCCATTTTGACCGCTATCGAATGAAATTTAACGATGTTTTTGCGTGCTATCTGTACGTAAGGACAGAATAAACGACTCGTTTCCTCCAAAAAAAGTATATAACTGCTTTAAATAAATTCTGAAGAGAATTTTTCGTGGCGTCTGTACGAAGGTATATACATACGTATCTCACACAACTCAAAAACGAGTAGCCACAGAGCGTTGAAATTTTGTATATAGGACTGCTATAACATGTAGATGTGCACCTCGTATTTTGGTTGCAATCGGCCGCGCCAAACGTATATAAATATATTTATATATATATCCTCTTACCGGCTCACTGACCTGAGTTTCTTTACTCTTATATGTTTGTAAATTGTACATTTTTTGCTTTAAAAATGATTGAATTATGTTGTTTTTATCTTCCGGTTAAGTTTTTTATGCCTTTAGTAAATCTGTATGCAATATGTTTAGAATTATCAACAATTTTAAAGTTGTTTAAGTGCCGCTAAGCCTAATAATTTTTTTGATGGCGGCCATTGCTTGTTTACATTTGAAACAGCAGACTAGTGGATTTGTTGCCAATCTAGAGAAACTTAGATTCGCAACAACAAAGATAACGCCTTCATTTATTATTGCCAATTAAACATGCTTAATCCTTTCTGGAATTTTTTCGAGGAAATAAGTGTTTAAGGTTTACTTCGTAATTTTTAATATAGATATTTTGAAAACTGTTTCATTTTGTTTTGTTTGCTTAATTTCTTTTATACATCATTCTAGTTTTATTATAGTATTTGAATGCAATGTGTGGCAACGATTAGATAGTTCTATTCTTTAAATGATATAAATTTTGTGCATTCTGAGTTATAATATGAACGAAATATAATACTGTTAAGTGAATCTAGCGCCAGAGTGTCTCTATGGTAAACAAAGTATTGTAATTGCGAAACGTTTCAGGTAGCATATTTCAACGAAAATATCCATTTTGACCGCTATCGAATGCAATTTAACGATGTTTTTGCGTGCTATCTGTACGTAAGGACAGAATAAACGACTCGTTTCCTCCAAAAAAAGTATATAACTGCTTTAAAGTGAGTATATAACTGCTTTAAAGTTACTAGAGTGAATTTTAAAGAATGCATTTATTCTGTTGTGGTTTATGCGCTGTCGGCGAAGTAGATTTATTTCAATCCAATAAGTTTAAATGAAATGCAATAAGAAATGCGTATAATTTAATATTCCGTACAAGGAAGTCATGTGGTGTACACATCAGTTTTTTTTTAAATAATCATTGAGTTTTCATTTATGGAAACCCATTTCATAATTGGAAACTGACTCAAAAGTAAAATCCAATGCGTAAGCTAAACATTACTATAAGCTGCATATTTATGAAAATCTTCTTAATAATGGTACCAAATGATGAAGGAGAAAATAACGCTTTATTGCGAAGAATAACCACTCGCAGCCAATAACTCAAGCAGAATGGGCTCAAGCGGCTAAATAGCTCAAGCAGAATGCAAAAATAAACAAATTCTCCTTAACTCGCAAGAAATATGGTATATTACTGATATCATTCACAAGAAAATAAAAGCAAGAGCACAATTCACGATTCACTTATGGCGATGTTTTATCGCCATTAGACTCCATCAGAAGATCATTAGAAAAGTTCAAAAGTCACAAAATTCAGCTAACAGTTAAAACCAACTTTATTTAACACTTATAAAAGGAGAAACATCTCACAAGACGCTAAATATTTAAACATTAACACACACTAGCCATAGTCAGACATCGGCCACGAACATATAAATAAAAAGTAAGAAGTAAGTAGTAGGTCTCTGAAAAAAATTCAAGTTTTTATCCTTGCGCTAGGGCATGCACGTATGCATATTGTGCAGCGAAAATGAATGGCGACACATATTGCAATAAGGTTTTCCGCCATGCGTTCATTAATTCTTTTAACTGCTCTTTTCTTTGAAATAACTTACATTGGTACTCTTAGGTAACCGACTCACTAGCTTTGCAGCCGTATTTATATAGGGTTTCCTGGCATTCTAGAATCTTCATAGAAATTTTTTCTGACAAGGCTTGGCGACAGAATTGTCACCAAGACTCGTCAGGACATATTTTGCTCATACATCAGTTTCTAATTCAGCTAGCTTTACAATACAAGCGTTGAGATATTCAGAATCACTAGATCCGCAGTTACTTATTCACTAATTTCATCAAACAAAAGTACATTCTAAAATTATTGTATAAAATGGAATAAATTAATTAATCAAAACAACTCTCAAAAATGAAAATACAATCAAATAAGCTCTAATATTTATAAAAAATAATATAACAAAATATTCGAATCGAAAAAAAAAGGTTATGAAAGTTGTGGGGTACCTTACGCTTATTTTTATTAACCAGTTATTATAGTTTCAGTCTTTGTTATCCATATTCCTCACCAAAATGTAAATTCGTTTGAAGTATTTAAGATGGAAGTTTTTGGTTTTGAGACAGACAGTGTTTCTGATATTCGTGGTTCTGGCTAAGTGGCTAGTTTCTTTTAGCTCTAGCAATTGTAATTATTCGGCTTTGCAGTCCTCTCACTTCGATATTTTAACTCTGACGTGCCGCTAAAATTACTGAGCCAGCTTCTAGTTTAGTATTAAATTTTGTAGTCTTTGACTACTCTTCAGCGTATAATTTTAATTTGACTGTTTTGCGTTGGGTATAATAACTCTATTGACAGTAAAACAATCAACAAGAAAATGTGGTTAAGTCAGAAACAGCATTTGCCAAATCATCCGCCAGATCTTTTCTAATAGTGCCGCAATGGCTGGAAATACATTTTAACTCGCATGAATGCTAAAGATTGAATTCAATACTATAGGTATTTTCATTTCCATTCAACTGTATTATAGTTTTTCCTTCATAATACTAAGACTTGCGAGTTACATTATCTGCTATTTTGAAATGGTACTATTTTTTTTTAAACTGTGCTAAACATTAATAAAACTCTGTTGCTTATCGTAGGTAGTCCTGCCATTCACAGAGGTTCACCTCATCCGATAAAGAATAGTTTCACCAAAGTCCACCATCCAGATCAACAGATCATCCTGCGAAGAGTTCTGGAATTCCGAGGTTCTACCAATGGATCCCAATCAACTTCACAAGTCACTACTGCAGACCACACCACCACCGACACTACAACAGATGGCCACGTGTCATATGATGAAGACGGCCTAGGAAACTCCCGTGACACGGCAGTCTGAATGTTTTTCAAAACAGATTAATGAAGAGATATTTCATGAGCTATGCTGGATGAGCCTAAGTCCCAATCACGATCTTAAAAAACAGTGACTGCACATTTTATGTAAGAGCTTTCATTTCTATGAAAAAAAGCTAAGTAAATCAAAAATGCATTTATAGATAACTTAGAATCAACAAAAAAGATAAGGTTAATTTAGATAATTTATAGCCGAGAATCATCACTGGTTTTGTTGCTAAGGTTCGGTAAACATCGGAATTCTTTAATATCCTAAAGGTACCTCTGAGTATTATTTAAAAATATTATTCATATTTGGTTATAAGAATTGACGCTACATCAGCCTAACTTTTAAATGGTGGTAATTTCATGAAATATCAGAATTTTTCAACTTTTAAACCTCAGACGTTTCAGTTAAAAGTACTTCTCAGTATTTTATACTTTGTATTGTTTAAATCTAATGCAGTAAAACCTGTCTTTAGTGAATCTTTTAAGAGTAAATTCGTACTTCTTTAATCCCATTTTAAACCTCTGAAGAATTCTTTTTTTTTTACTTCACCCGTATATTAACTGTAATTTCATATATCCATTTAAAGAATATATCTTTATGGTTATTCGAGCGTGGGTTTTCATTAATTATCTATAATACTTTGAAATAACTTGCAAACCTGCTGTCCGAGTTAAATCTTTTACAAATTATTTGGTGTATTTCCATCTACTAATAGCACACATAATCTGGAGTACAGTGCCTACCTTTATTGAGTTTAGGACAAAACGTAAACAATCTCTTTAACATTTCGCTGAAGATAGCTTTTACTGTATTTGTAGGTTAGAGAAAGATGTGTGTTCCTTACACATCAAACTTTTAACAGGTACTGAAAATTTTTGTAATTTTTTTTAACTCATTAGTGTTTGCGACCACGTACATGAGTTAAACTCCGAAATAACGTGGTAATTAACAAATAAAATTATTTCATTTTCATGTTAGCTATTACAGCTAGTAAATGTAAGGATAGTAGTATCAAAATTGTAAAAGCAGTTGTCGGATAATTTTATGTCTACTTATTCCGTAAGAGAATTAAAATTATTCCTAAATACATATGAAGTATTTTTGCGTATTAAAACGGCTGTAAATTTTTATTTTTATTGGAATTTAAAAACTATTTCATGTATGCATTGTGTAATTAAGTGTAATTCTGTACGCAGTTCTGTGGTAACTTCAGTATTTTTCTTCTAATCACGTATAAACACAGCTTTAATTTTAGAAAAATCATTTTCTTTTTTGGTGAAATATTATTGTGAATTACCATTCAACTCTGCATATTGTGTTTCTGTGATTTGTTAGTGTTTGATGTAATTATATGATCAAAAAGTGTAACAATACGCTGTTGTAGAAAGCAGTGGTCCTGTAAAAGCTGAGTCTATTCTCAGAGTTTATTTATTTAAAAACGTTTGCTTATTTTACAATAATTTATTTAAAATTTTTCATTTAGTTTACACTTATTTAAAAAGCTTTTTATATTATATTTATTTATTTAATTAATATCTTTTTATGATATTAATGATTTTATTATTAAGTGATTGTTATTGATATTAATTGTTTTCTTTAATTTATATTTAAATGTTAATGATACCAATGGTTTTATTTAAAATGAATGTTGTTATTAATATTTGAAAATTCATTGTAATTGTTACTAACAATAAAGGATTTATTTGAAAATGACTGTTTTTGTTATTATAAACATTAATGGTTTTATGTAAGGTAATTAATTAAAGTTTCACGTAAAGCCTTTTCTATGATAATGGAATCGCCAAATTTGCAAATTTAATAAGACCAAGAGCAATTCTGAATTTCTGAAAAAAAATACGTATACAATTAAATGCTAAAGTGAATAATAAAGAAAATATGCTAAAAATTCCATAAACTAAACAAAGCACTAAAATTTACTGGCATCCTAACAGTAACAAACAATCTGATATGGACACTACATGATTTCCTTAAATGGCCTATTACATTATATACATTTTTTGCTGTACTTCATTTAAACTAATTTCATTCATTCAATATTTAATTCCGAATATCTAATATGAACATTAACACAAGAATTAGCAAACGTTACGCATCGGTGTCTAAATCTGCACATATCGAAGAAAACCCCCAGAAAAAATACCTTTGACACAAAAGCTCCGAAGTTTAAACAAATATTCCTACAGAAAGGTTTATCACTAAAACCCTTAAAATTATTGCATACCTTCTTTTTAAATTGTTTTTCAACAATTTCCAGAATTTTTCGGAAGTGAAAATATTTTCAAATTTATTAAACTATTCACTGAGTACATAGGTTAGATTATAAATGCTAGCACTAGCAATGAAAAATGTAAGACCATATTTATTTTTCTTCTCATTTCTATATCAGTCCATCTCGCATGACTTAGGTAATGCTGATGGCGGAGCTTGAACTCAAAATTTTTATAACTGACCTTTCTAACGTAAACCAAAGCCTTCTCTTGGTGAACCTCTGTACTGGATATTTGCTGTCTTGCACCGAAAATGTTAGTTCCCTTTGCTTGGCCTTGCTGCTAACTATGGTATTATCTAAAATGTGATACTCTATATAAAATTGCGGGGTGTGTATTGCGCCCATGATCATGTGTGATGAAAAATATATTTCGAGAATTAGTTCCTGTCCAGCAATAAAAATTATATTCGATTCTGCCACATGTGTCTACAAATTTCTCCTTCGAGTGTCATTTTTCTAACTACGCAGTAACATCTCTCCAATTTATGATGCAGAGAACCACCGCAAGTCCATTGCATCTTTCTCCAAGTCATAGTATTATTATATATATATATATATATATATGTAATACTATGACTTGGAGCGGGGTCTTACTGTATATATATATATATATATATATATATATATACAGTAAGACCCCGCTTAACGCGGGGATACGTTCCATCAAATTAGAGCGTAATGCGAAACAGCTCTAAACGAGGCTATCTTTACATGTAAATATTGGGGTTAGGGGAAGATGGCTAGGAAATTGGTTAGGTATTAAATTTAAAAAATATGTTTTTTAATAAAAATTAAACCAAACATTTATTTCTTAAAGCCCAAATTAATACCACATTATTATTTCTTGCAAAGATAAAAACAAAATATAAATAACAAAACGAATATTCTTAAAAAAAAAACAAATAAAATTCCAAGTCAGTCATATTTAGTTAGCCTTCCGCGTTTTCAGTGTTCTGCCTTTTTGTGACAAAAGTATCTAATGTTGTTTGCCTTTTTCTTTTACGTTGTTCTCTTAAAAGTTCTTCATAAACGGATAGAGCATCTCTAACATCACGCCTTACTTTTGAGCTCCTGTCAATATTCGAATCATTTTCAATGAATTGATCCATTATTTCAGTTATGGTAGACAAACTCCTTTTTACAAACGCCATCGAAAGTTCTTTTTGCTCTTCTTCTGAATCACTGCTGTCAACATTTTTGTTTTCTTCTTGTTCAGTTAATTCCTTGAGCTCATCATTAGAAAGACTAGCCGCTGCTTCTTGAATTATTTCTTCGACATCTTCCACATTTACCCCTTCAAAATATGTCTGTACAATACCGCACCAAACAAGAAATACAAGTACACTCTTTCGGATATGTATTTGAAACCTATCGCTGCATAATATTTCGGGGAATCCCCGTATGCTGCGAGCGATTTCGTGGAATCCCCGGGTTGAAATAAAAGAGCGCTAAACCGAAACAGCGCTAAACGAAACAGCGTTAAGCGGGGTCTTTCTGTATATATATATATATATATGTATGTATATATATCACAAACGTTATTTTAAAATATTTATTATAAGTAAAATGCGAATTTATTCCACTGCAAGAGAAGAAAATTTATTTTGCCTATCGTATACTGTTTCATACAACAAATGAAATAATTTATACTTTATTTTATTAATTTTTATCTTAAGTATTTAGCCTAATTGTTATTTTCCTAAACACGCAGATCAATTTTATTTCAAACAAAAAAAGCAATGAAATTGGTTTTTATTATGATTCTTATTATTTACACGTACTCTACGTTCAATATATAACATTCTTTCTATTTTTGCTGAACTAAAATTAAACGAAGATTTTTTTTCATCAAAACAAAACGCATAACTCCGAGACATTTGTCTTCTTAAACGTTTTTTATTCGCGACCCCTTTTTATCACTGAGATTTTTTTCGCGGCTCCAGGAATCCATAATATTTACGAAAATTGTGTGGGACCCCATAACCATTGCGCAAATCCGACACACGCGTGAGTGAAGCTGTCAGTTCTTTCACTTGTACTGTATACTATAGCAGGTTTAGGCCATTAACTTTAAATTCTAATTTTAACACATAGAACAATGTGAAAATTTTAAATAAATGACAGACGAATTGAACCTAACAGCGTCATATGCGAAACAAGTAAAATGAACCTTTGCATTATAAAAAGAATGCTTCGGAACGTTTTCGTTTTTACTTTGTCTGTATTGTCTTATCTTTATCTATTTTCAGATACATTGTGTAAAAATATTTGCTAATTGTAAAATCATTATAATAGGTTAAAGAAATATCAAAACTGTTAAAGTCTTTGGCGACACCCTGTTGCAGATCCCGCTACCCCCATGGAGTTCGCGACCCACAGTTTAAGAAACTCTGGTCTAAACCAATTTGATAGTTCCTTAAATTAACATACTGCATTATCTTTTGCATTATTTGAAAAAAACAATGTTTAAAACTGTATATAAATTGCCAGCAAATTAAATTTTGCTTTGTTAAAAAGATAAATTATTGATCAGGATAATTGGAATTCCAGTTAAATGTAGCTTTTATTTCAAAACCTTCTATAATTTGCTAAAACCATTAAAAGTGTATTGCTTTCTCCATTAAAAGTGTATTGCTTTCTCCATTAAAACCATTAAAAGTGTATTGCTTTCTCCATTAAAACCATTAAAAGTGTATTGCTTTCTCCATTAAAACCATTAAAAGTGTATTGCTTTCTCCATTAAAACCATTAAAAGTGTATTGCTTTCTCCATTAAAACCATTAAAAGTGTATTGCTTTCTCCTAACTGCTATTAAAAAAGTATGCTGTTAACTCAATACTTACAATATTTATAAACTTAAATAGCCTCATAAAATAGAAGAATTTAAATTAAAGAGACACGCGATTGTTACATTCTTTGAAAAGAGTATTTTCATAATGAAAGTTCTCTAATTTTTAACGAAGGGTCTTCCAAGTGGGTAGTAGATTCATATGTTTATTCTTTATTAAATTTTATCCATTTCGAAAATTTTATGGAGTCTCTTAAATTTTCGCATTACTTTTGCATACGTGTTTTTGCTCTTCTGTGAGTGAATTATATTGTTATGGGGGAAATATGTCGTAATGATATTAGTTATACATATTCACCAAACACCTACATTTTGAATAACTACCGTTTGGTTGTACTCAAGGTGTTTAGAACAGAGGGAGTAAACCTGACGTCACAAAAGTGCAGCCAAAGAAATATCAGTAACGTGATGTCATGACTTATTTTTACCATGTGTTATAGTTACCATTTGTATATTTTCATGTACCTAAATTTAATTAAATTCGAATCAGTTATTTGCAATCTTTAAGATTTTTCTATATATTAAGTAGAAAATCTTTCATGTAAAGCATTAAAATTAGAATGGGTGACTTATAAACGTTCAATTATGAATAGTGTTCAATGTCGGCAACGCTGATTAGAATGTAAACAGTAACAACCAAAAGTCCGCTTATTGCAGCAGCCATGAAAAGTCGTGACGTCATAAAGTGACGTTTCGTGGCTTCATTTTCATTGCACGGTATACATGAGTTAGAATAAAAGTATAAAGTATTTATTTTAACCTCCTTGGTTGTACTCTTGTGTCAAAGTGCTGTTCATCATATTTATTATGAGTAAATATTCATATACTGAATTTTCACTTGACAAGCACATGTTTAATCGATGAAAATTTATCAATACTGATGACGAAGTATAATTTCAGTTAAGCTAGTTGTAACTGTTTTGATAATAATCTTTTAGTTCTTCTGTTTTAAATAGAAAGCAGAAATCATATTTCATTAACAGTCTTAATAAATCGAAAAACTTTCTAACTGATCACTTACAGTTTTCAATTAAATATTATCACTAAAATTTCACTCCTTTGCAGAAATTTTCTCTAGCTTTAAACTGAACAAATTACCATCCTTACACAACTTAAATCAACCAATATCTAATGAATGTGGAGATAAATCATAATCTCTAGCATAATTATTGATGAGTATGACTTAATCCCAGAAACAAAGAATAAAAATTTCGAAAATCTTAATGGGGTTAGTAACAAAAGAATTTAGGCAGGTATGAAAACATAACAGAAGCGTCAGGAGAAACAATGAAAAAACAAACCAAAGAAAATTTAATGCTAAAACGTTTTCGTCAAATTCTCAAAAAAATTTTTTAACTTTACTTATCAACTGTTTGTCTTTGTTCACGCTGTTAACGTATTCAGT